GTGGCTGTGGCCGGCCTTACCGGTTCCCCGTGGCTGTGGCCGGCCTTACCGGTTCACCGTGGCTGTGCACTTGAGATTCTCAGGGTTGCGGATGAGCTTGTCCAGGATGCTGACGATCTGGGAGAAGCGTGGCCGCTCGCTGCGATCCTTCTGCCAGCAGTCCAGCATGAGCTGGTGCAGGGCTGTAGGGCAGCCCATGGGGGCAGGCAGGCGGTAGCCCTCCTCCACTGAGTTAATGACCTGAAAGATAGGTTTGCTCGGGGTGAGCCCACAGCCCTCCCGGAGCGCACTCTGAGATGCCCTGGCTCTTCGCTCCAGAGCTCTGTGGAGCCAGCCACAGACTGAAGCTGGCAAAGCAGCTGCAGGAGCAGGTCAAGCAGCGACCAATGGCCACTGGTGGTAACAGGCACCTGTTCTCCGGAGGTCTCCCGCTGAACACCAGCCCTCGGGCTGACTGGCTCTTTGGGCCAACCCCCTCCCACGCGCCAGCCCCCTCCCTTCCTTTGTCTTATTCATCTCGGCAACCCCCTAACATAACCCCACCTAAAGCACATAAACAACACGCAGCGGGGCGGGGACCCCCAGTAACACCCAGCGGGGTGGGGACCCACAATAACACACCATGGGGCGGGGACCCCCAGTAACATGCAGCAGGGTGGGGACACCTAGTAACACGCAGCGGGGCGGGGACCCCCAATAACAAACCATGGGACGGGGACCCCCAGTAACATGCAGCAAGGTGGGGACCCCCAGTAACACGCAGCGGGGCGGGGACACCTAGTAACACGCAGCGGGGCGGGGACCCCCAATAACACACCATGGGGCGGGGACCCCCAGTAACACGCCGCGGGGTGGGGACCCCCAGTAATACAGAGTGGGGCGGGGACACACACTATGCGGAAGGAAGGACTGCAAACACATTGATATTTTCACACAGAGAATTTGACAATCCCCCCTCACGGCTCGGCTGAGCTCGGCGTTGAGGCCCCCAGGCAGCATAAAGTCTCGAGCTCCATTCCCGGGGGGTTGCAAGGACAGGCAGCATCACCTTTTGCCCCGAGAACTACACTCTGGCTTTGGACCCTCCCCCCCCCGTGGCCTCCATCTCGCCGTGAGCCCCCCACAACCGCTCAGTTAACAGGAGGTGCCGCCCCTAGCAGAGGGAGGGAGGGAACCGGCCTGATACCAGCCCAGCTGCAGGCAGGACGATGCTCACTTACATCCCTGTTGGTCATGTTCCAGTAGGGCCGCTCCCCGTAGGCCAACACCTCCCACATGACGACGCCGTAGCTCCACACGTCGCTGGCTGAGGAGAACGTGCGGTACGCGATGGCCTCGGGGGCCGTCCAGCGGATGGGGATCTTCCCCCCCTGAAACACAGGGTAACCGTCCATGACAGGCTTCACCCAGGGCAAAGAGCTGGCACCTGGGCAGCAGGGCCATTCAGCAGGTATCGCGGAGAGCCAGGGCAGGAGCTGGGGTCAGGCATGCATGGGGGTGTGACGGAGCAGGGAGCAGGGCAGATTTGACCTGGGAACGTAGCCT